TGGTCTCTCTTTCTGTTTGCTCTCTTAGTCTGTGACCATTTCACTTGTATGAACCTGTCTCCTTTAACAATGTATATTCCCCTTATATTATATATAATATGAGTGTTTGTTGACACTCCGTTGCTTGGTGACAGATATCCATATTATATGTGTGATTGTTGACATGTCTGCTATATTTTGCTATGTATATATGGATCGATACTTCATTATAATTAGCCATTCATGTTAAGACTGTCCATTGATTTATTCACACACTTGTCTGGACATTCATATATATTTCGCTCACACAATTTGTGTGACTTACTTACTTACCACTTTGGTGGGATACCACTTTTGCATTCTCCTTGTGTTTGGAAAATAGAAGTATCATCGCAAACCTAGTGGTCTTCTGATTTCCGTCTTTCTTGCGTCAGGACTATTAAATTCTCGACCAGTCCATAACAATAATTTAGCGACGAGTACATAACAATTTGGCGACGGGGAAAACTACTCTTAACCACTCAGCAGCAGCAACATAACATTATCGATGATAAATAGTGTTCTATTACTGCATGATCAGTACTGTGAAAATGTACTGAAGACAGTGGTGTACCTGAGTGTTATCCATGTAAACACTACAGGGATTTCAAGAGAATAATTTGACGCTATACTGGTTCATAAATGAAGCCATTATTACCATTCCTCAGGATAATAGAGGCATTCTAAAGATTAGTCGTTGCTTCTTACACGGATATAATCTTTGCATAGTTCAGTGATATTTTTCACTAACTTATGCTATTAATTTTGGGAAATCTGAAGATATGAAACTTAGATGGCTGAAGGACCTTTCAGATGTAGAAACAGTTGCACTGTATGTCATTAAATTAGTATACAGAATTCCAACTTTTTATTCAAACTGCAATACATAAGTCTTTTCAATTGAGTTATTCAAATTATTTGAACGAACTTGGTAAGTTTTCACTCTCCAAGAGAACAAAATAAGATTACAGTGATGTGAGTCATGGATACTATCCTTTTGTTCCACACTATGTTCGATTAGATGTCCTATTGCAGTAACTGGTGCCAATTTAAGTCATGCTTAAAGTGTTTAAAGTTCCTTCTGAAAATTCCGAATGAATCATTTTGTAGGTTGACTAGTTGGGCATGGCCTTATTATTTCATGTGATTATAAATTTGGAAGTAATGGGTTGTTTGAATAATCTTTTATTTTTACGAGCTTGATCACGGATTGATATCAGTTAGAGAAACATTGAAAACCACAATGGAGTACTGGACAGCTGCTGTTTCATCCTAGTTCGGGAATCATTGGCAGTACTCACCCACCACCATGGTTCGAAGCCAGGACCTTCCGTTTAAAAAGCAAGCTCGTATACCACTCAGCCAGTGGGTGCGTACTGTTGATGATTCTCAAACTAGGATGAAACAGCTGTCCAGTACTCCATGCTGGTTTTCAATGTTTCTCTAACTGATATCAATCCGTGGGCAAACTCGTAAAACCATATCTAATCCTTACAAACCAACTCTTGAAAATCTTTTATTTGTTTTTTCCTATGTATTCAAAAAGTTATATTATTATTATTATTATTGTATCCTTTAGTTCCTAGAGGAACATAGGGCTTCAGCTGCGCACCTCCATTGACTTCGGTTTTCTGACAACTTTTTCACCCTGCTCCAGGTCTGTCCACATGCTTTCATCTCCTCCTCGCATGACCTCCTCCAAGTCACCCTTGGACGACCAACTCGCCGCCTCCCTTTCGGGTTCCACTCGAGCGATGGCTTGTCTAGTGATGTCACTTGACGGTTTCCTCAGCGTATGGCCAATCCATCTCCATTTCTTTCTGCCTATTTGTTTCACAATCGGTTCCTGATTGGTTCGCTCCCAGAGATCCCTGTTGCTGATCTTTTCTGGCCATCTGATCTTGAGTATTGAGCGGAGACAGCTGTTAATGAAGGTTCAAAAAGTATTTGAAGATATTTCGTGTACACGAGTATGTGAACTACCTCGAGTATTGGAATGATTGAACTTTACAAAATCAGCCTTTTTCGTTTTGATTATGTCAACGAATGTTACCTGCCAACTTACCTTAATTATACCATCACCGAAGTGAGAAGCCCGTGTTTGATATACAGTCTATTCAATCCTAAACCCTGCATAGTTTACAAGTCAGTAGTAGGCTGGAGAAAAAAGGAAGATTCAATGTAAAGCTGGCCATCCCATCCTGAAAAAAAAACATCCGCTATTGAAACTTCCAAACTGGAAGACATAGTTTCCACTCGTAATGTAGACGAATGAAAATAAAATAAAAAGTATATCTAGTCGACAGAGTTAACATTCACTTAGGATTAGATAATCAAGCTATGCAGAACTAACACTTATTATCAAAATATACTGATGATATGTACAAGTAGGTGACGATTACTTCCAGTAATCATTCGTAATTAGATTCTAGGTAGATTTTTCACTCATTTGACTGCATGTATGTGTAATGCGCTGTGATTTCTAGCCCTACTTCATATACTATTCAATTCAGTTTCAGACTTTCCCGTCAGTTAATTGGACCAAAGTGCTTGGTCTTAAGTTGACATGTTAGCTCCTTGTGCAGATGCTTCGACAATGTCCGATCATATAACTTGAAGTCTATTGGTGAATGGTGACTAGAAGTGGAATCCAAAATGCGCATTTCGTCCTGTTTGAGCCCTGGTGGGAACACCATCACTCACTGAAGAATGCAGATAAATACAGACGACGAGCCCTAAACAGGACGAAGTGCGCATCCCGCATTCCACTCCTAGTCACTATCCACTAATTGATTTCCACTTCACATACTTAGAATTGTCAAACTAAATAGTAGCATAAACTGTCACATTAAATATGACTTATAAATAGACCAATACTTCAAAAACCTGTCGGAGATCACTTTGTTGAGTCATTGCCATTCTTCACCATGGTTATCAAAAGTGCAGTGAAATGAGTTCATTTTGTTTGCTTGATACTCAATAAAAAAAATGTAGTCCCAACTACTACTACAATTTGATGGATTAGTATGCAGTGTGAACATTAAAGTAATAGAACTTCAAATGCACTGATAGACCTTTAAAGAGTATTCAGTAATATTTGCCTCCGGATGAGTAAATGCTTACTGTTTGATTTCACTGCTATTGCGTGGATCAAAGGAAATAAAGACGCTAAAAAGAGGTCTTAAGTTAAAATCACACATGTATGCGGCATTTCGTTTTCAGACACTCCAAGTTTAATGCCGACTTAGTATCAAAACCAATTCGAATCCACTTTTGGGTTTATCTATTCTGATATGAAATAGAAAATATTGATTACATTGCATGCAAACTCCTAGTTTACACAAATCCATTTGGTCAGTTTAAGTTTTGTAAAATAACAGAATCTAGACATTACAAGATTAATAATAATAATTTTTCCTTCACGTTCCCAGTGGAACATAGGGCTCCAAGCCAGTGGCTTGAAGTTTCTGTAGCAGTGTTTAATTTTTACAGGATGGGGTTGCTAGCCTCATGTCCAACCTTTCCACTTTACCAGCATTATTTCTGGCTCAGTGAGGTAAAGGAGTGCGTCGGCTGAGGGTCGAACCCCGGACCATATGCATGGTCGGCGAGCGTCCTAACCGCTATACCACCGACGCACCATTACAAGATTAATATAGATAAATTTTGTTCAGTTCAGTTTTTAATTGTTCTCAATAATAATTAGGAGATGGTGTACTTAGGGACCAACTACCAGAAGCTTTATGTTTCCTTTGTATGCTGAAGCACCATTCAATAAGACATCACTAATGACAAATATTAAATTTCAAATATTGGTTTCGTAGGGATTTTGTTTGATTTCATGAAGGATTTAATCATGAGCTGACATCAGTTAGAGAACCACTGGAAAACCTGGGAGTACTGGACAGCTGTTTCGTCCTGCTGAAAAGTCCCAAACTAGGACGAAACAGCTGTCCAGTACTCCCAGGTTTTCCAGTGGTTCTCTAACTGATGTCAGCTCATGATTAAATCCTCCATGCAATCAAATATTAAATTGATTACAATATGATGTGTTTAAGTAGACTAGTTCAGCAAAGTGTTATATCTACACTGATAGTTTCTGATTCAATCAGCGGAAGCCTTGAACCTAGGTTTCGTGCTAAGTTGGTACTCATCAGCATTAGACTGATAGAATTCAGTCTAAACCAATCAGAGGACTAAACGCATCACACTAGGTATTAGTGCCAAATCAAAAGTTTCCGATTCACCTCACATAGATATTTTCTTTAATTATGAACTGAAATCACTACTAAATGAAATATTCATCAAACGCCCATTACCCCTGTACAGTAGCTTTTTTTTCTGTAAACAGAAGTCTATTTTTCCATTATCGTAAACGTTTTTACTACTCCTTATCGTGTTAACCAATCAAATAGCAGATTTTATTTTAAAAGGAAGAAGGGGTAATTTTTCCTAATGTGTACTATGTACTAACGTTCATCTCCTTTCCCTTTCCGTTAATTTTTACTATAAGAGGAGATGATAGCGGAACGACCAAAAATCTACTGTTTATGTGATTGGTCCAGATAAACATTTGTTCACATGATAGATGAAGGTAAAAGACAGTTTGATAACTTTTTTAGTAGAAGGAATTAGAACAGGGAGTAGTGTATATATAAATTTGTCTGAACTTTGCAATTAGCTAAAGTTCAGATAAGCATACTTGTATGTGTGTGCGCAAATTGAGTGGTCTGTAAACCATATTGATAAATAAGAAGTATATACAACATTATAATATATCAACCGACAGAGTATAAAGTACAAATTTAAAAAATATACGTCAGATGGATATTATGAAGTCTTTCTAACAAAAATAATCAAGATGTGTTGTATGTGATATGTGAAGAAAAAAAAAGAGAAGAAAGAAAAACAATTCAACAAATCAAGCAGATTGGTAATTTTCAATGAATTATTAAGAGAGAGACAGAGAGAGAAGAAAAAAGATGCTAACTGTTCCTTCTGAGTCTAATTTGTTTAAATACACTGATAATTATAATCTCAGTCATTCGCTGATTCATTCAAATGACAATAGTCATCATCGTCATCATCATCAACATTACATTAAACAATCTCATTCATCTCTGACCGATCAATCACATCTTATTGTTCAACAATGCAAATCTACTGGAAATATTGAACCTGAACCTTTAAATAATAACAGTAATACAAATATTTCATCACTTGATGAAAATAATGCATCCAACGTGGATGATGGTGATGATGATGATGATGATAATGCTGATGATGAAAAGAAGAATAACAGATACTGTACTTCAAGGAGTAGCAGTAGTATATTAACGCCTAATATTCTAGTTCCTTATCAGAATACTACTCAATCACAACAACATCAACAAAATGAATTTCATGATGTCTCTTCCACTTCTTTACTAAAATCATCATCATCGTCATCACCTTTAAACAGCTCACTTTCAAAATCATTATCACTAAATACTACTGATGGTGTATTTTCAACTAATAACAGTAATAATAATAATAATAATAATAATAACGGCAATAAGGAAACTATGTTGAATACGGCTAAGTTATTTAACAATATTCATGCTAATAAACATCCACTGTACAGCTTATCATTTCCAGTGGATTATTATTCAAATAAATTAAATGAGTCTAAAAGTCAATTTGATAAATGTATTAATAATGCCTCGGAAAAAATGCGAAGTATTACAAGCAATCATGCAGCAGGTGAACAATTGAATCAAAGTAAGTATCTGCAAATGTTTTTCAAGTATTGACACAACTCCATTAAATTATATATATATATATATATATATTTTCAAGTATTGGTTTTTGTAGGGATTTTGTTTGATTGCACGGAGGATTTAATCATGAGCTGACATCAGTTAGAGAACGGTGGGTGCGTACTGCTGAGGAGTCCCAAACTAGGACGAAACGGCTGTCCAGTACTCCCAGGTTTTCCAGTGGTTCTCTAACTGATGTCAGCTCATGATTAAATATATATATATATATATCACATCTTACTAATTAACAAATTGAAAATCGCCATGGGAATGGAGGTAAATATAAAAAACTGGCTAATTCCTTCGAAACCTATAGGAATTGATCCGTCTTTTAACCTCATGGCATTGTCAATTTATCTGCTCCTACTGAAGGAGGGTAACTCTAAATTATAGCAGCCCAAAACGAAACTACTTCTAGCGACTAATCAGATGCGTCAGAAGAAGTTCGTAATTTGAAATAAGCGTCTATATACAAGTAATGCAATGGTTACATAGGATAATATTCTTGTATATGTTCCAAAAATCCCTCAGTTCCTCACAGGAGCTCTCATAGTCAGGTTAAACCGATTTTTGTATATAAGTTCATCAAGGTCATCAACCCGTTTATTAGGTAGTTTCGTTTTGGGCTACCATAGTTTAGAGTCACCTAAAGTAGATACAAGAGACTTCACTAAATGAATTGACAAGTCACTGTCTAAACTATGAACATCAGTTTACTTTTCTCTATCACATGATTTGTATTTCCAGTAGGTTAACCTAAGTCCATTTTGTTTAAGTTAACTGAAATATAACTATTTTTCATTGAAAATAATAATAATAAGTCGTTGGAAGTCCTATTGTAACAATAGAAGGCAAGACACGGAAGCCGATGTATATATTTATCATTATTCATACCGCTGTTTATATATCTACAGTTTATATTACTTAACCAATCACTGAGCTTGTGATTTTGATTTACGTCAAACAACATGAAATAGAATGTTTTCAAATAAGCATAGTATTCTATTGCCAATGCAGTACTGAACTGTGGGAATATGTGAGAATAGCATTCTGTTTGCACAGACTGTCTATATCATACCACCATACACCATACCATCGTACAAACAATGAATACATTTTAGTAGTGACAGTCAATTTTCGACCCCTGAGGTTGAATAATCTAAACTTTTTGGTCCATTATCCTACTGAATACACTATTTATCTTCCTTTTCTTTCAACAGACCCAAACAACATTCATTCTAATCATGCCGACGAAATGTACTACAGACAATCATCATTTTTACCGTTTTCATCTCAAGCACCGAATGAATATAATAATCCAGCTACAGAATTCAATATTGGTCGATCAAATTTAAACCAAGCAAACTATTATTATAATCAGAATACACCTGAAAGAAGTGCAAACAATAGTAATAATAATACTAATAATAACAATGAACTAGTAAATAGCCAATCAGACAAAAAAGATTTACAAATAATAAAAAATAAAAAATCCGACTTCATATTAATCCGTCAACGTAATCGACGGAAACCACGTATTTTATTCTCTCAGTCACAGATTTATGAATTAGAACGTCGATTTAAACAACAACGTTATCTATCAGCACAAGAACGTGAACAAATGGCGAATAATTTAAAAATGTCAGCGCAACAAGTAAGATCTTAATTTCTTCGTTCTTTATCTAGTTATTACTGATTTCATATCGGTATAATGACTGCCATTGGATATTGTTAGGCCTTCGACAGCGTCGATCGAGAGGTCATTTGGAAACTACTTCGCTACTACGGGGTCCCATTGACAATTATACACCTCATCCAACAGTTATACGACAATGCTGCATGCCAAGTAATCCACAACGGGAAACTTACGGAAGCCTTCGAAGTGAGGACGGGAGTGAGGCAAGGCTGTCTACTATCACCAATGATCTTCCTGATTGCAATTGATTGGATAATGCGACAGACAACGGCAACCAACGAGGGAACAGGCATAAAATGGACTGACACAAAAGACTTGGAGGATCTGGATTTCGCCGATGATATATGTCTGATTTCCCATAAACTGGAAGATATGCAAATGAAAAGTAACAAGTTGGCAGAAGAAGCATCAAAGATAGGACTTCACGTGAACATAGATAAAACAGAGGTGATGAAGATTCCTTGCCAACATCAACAGCAACAACAGACCACAATAAGCATAAATGGGAAGAACCTGAAAGAAACAACCTCCTTCACCTACCTGGGAAGCATCGTCTCAACTACAGGCGGAACTGACGAAGACATCAAAGCCAGAATCGGAAAAGCAAGACAAGCTTTCATTACTCTCAAATCTGTGTGGAGGTCAACAGCAATCAGCATCAAAAATAAGATCCGGATTTTCAACTCCAATGTGAAGTCAGTGCTACTATACGGATCAGAGACTTGGCGAGTCATAAAGAGCATCTCAAACAAACTTCAAACCTTCATTAACAACTGTCTCCGCTCAATACTCAAGATCAGATGGCCAGAAAAGATCAGCAACAGGGATCTCTGGGAGCGAACCAATCAGGAACCGATTGTGAAACAAATAGGCAGAAAGAAATGGAGATGGATTGGCCATACGCTGAGGAAACCATCAAGTGACATCACTAGACAAGCCCTCGAGTGGAACCCGAAAGGGAGGCGGCGAGTTGGTCGTCCAAGGGTGACTTGGAGGAGGTCATGTGAAGAGGAGATGAAAGCATGTGGGCAGACCTGGAGCAGGGTGAAAAAGTTGTCAGAAAACCGAAGTCAATGGAGGTGCGCAGCTGAAGCCCTATGTTCCTCTAGGAACTAAAGGATACAATAATAATAATAATAATAATCTGATCACAACTGTGATCTTATATTTCCTGTATTCTTTCACTTTTTATTCTTATGTGATGAGGAATAAAGATGTGGTCACTAATTAGTTAGCCTAAGTAATATATTACTGAATTATCTGTCTAAAGGTCACTGATTCAGGCCTATTCACTATGCGTGTTCCCTAAGAAATGTTTATTTTACAATTCGTTGTTTTCAACTTTTCTCCCGATGATTCCTTTTATGATGTCTCTTATAAAACCCTTTGTGACACGTCACAGGAACATGGACCAGTTAAATTGGGTGACTATAATCTTTCTATACTTGGATTACTGAGTTTAAACTGTGCGCTGATCTCCCAATATTACTGAGTATTCAACGGAACCAAAAGATGTATCGGTATTGTATGAATTTACTTTATCAGGCAATTGGCAGGAAACCTTCGACCCTAAGTTTTATGCTTTTTGGCACTCGTTAGCAAAGTGTATCTGCAATTTTGAAGAAACTCTTATCCTTCCTGAGATTCAAACCTGTGTCACCCTGTGCTGAAGTCAGAGAAGTTACCACTAAGCTATTCGGACTCAGAACTGACCTCGTGTAGGAGGCGAGCTTGTAGACTATTAGGCCACTGGGACCCGCCAATCCACTGACCAGTCCATGAATTCCAACTTCTGCCAATTTTCGACAGAGCGTGACCGCTAGCTATCCTCACACCCAACCTGCTACACCTTACTGGTCACGACTTCTCACTAGAACCCCAAGTAACTACCAACCTTAACAGCACCAGTCAACATATCATTGATATTCAAACCAATAATCAAATATTGAGTACACCGTCACGCCATGCAGAGGTGCATAAATAAAACCAACAAGTATTTAATAATTAGGCATTCAAAAGCAAAATTTCAGTTTTTCTGAACATACTTTGTTTGAACACACAGACTGACATTTCCTGGGGAAGCAAATAGACTTGTGGTTGTAGTCTCATATTAAATTAGGATTAAATATTATACCATGGTTTCAAATCAAAAATAAAATGAAATTACTCAGAATCTGTCAGCATTAAATCACATTCAACTACTGTGCTGTTTCATTCATCATATTCATCCGAAGTTGTTGCTTAATTAATAAAGACTTACTAGTAAATTTGCAAAGAAGCGGTTAATTTTTTCTCACGAATTAAAATATAACTAATTGTTAATTGGTAGATGGTGACTAGCAGTGGAATCCAGGATGCACATTTCGTCCTGTTTGGGACTCGTCATCTGGATGTACCTGTATTCCGCAGTGAGTGATGGTGTTCCCAACGAGGCCAAAAGAGGTGCCTCTCATGGGCCAAGTGGTCTAGTGGATAACGCTTTTGCGTTTGAAACTATGGGCAATTGGTTCGAGCCTCGGTGGGGACATCATCACTCAATGACCGGAGAATGCAGGTACATCCAGGTGACGAGTCCCAAACAGGACGAAATGCGCATCCTGGATTCCACTGCTAATCACCATCCACCAACTAACTTCTAATTATACGCCTAGACATTGTCGAAGCATCTGCACAAGGAGCCGACATGTCAACCTGAGACCGAGCACTTCGGTCCAATCAGTCAACGGGAAAATCTAAAATTGAATTAAATAATATAACTATTTGTGTTTTACACTCATTGATATAACTATCTGGCGTAATCATTGTTACACAGATTGGTTTCAATGTAAAAGAATGAAGATTAGAGTTGAAAAGAAACCCGAACAAAGGAAGCAAATAAACCACCAGCCTATTCATAGCTTACTATTACAAGTTTGATTTTGAGCTGAAATCACTTAAAGAACCACTGGCTGGCGGTTGCGCCATATATACCGCAAAATGGCAGAAGTTGGAATTCATGATGCATTAAGTAGGATACGAGTGGATGGACACTCTACAATTTCACCTTCTAACATGAAGGTCTTCCGTTCGAATCCCGCTAGGTGCCTACTGACGAAGAGTCTCAGACTGGGAAGAAATAGTTGTCTGTCCAATTCTCCATGATTTGCTAATAGTTATCTAATTGATGTCAGACTCATGATCACACCTGTAGCCAATCAAATACCTGGAAACTAAGACTTGATGACTTACTAATACTTGTATTCTTACCAATAGTGAATGCTTAATTAAGACCGTTATAACTTCAACATATGTTAAAATCTAAACAGTATTTACTGAATGAGTGTTCAGTGTTTTCAAGCATAGAAAATTCTCTTCTAATTAAAGTGAAAAATCCCTATACCTTATAGGATGAACGCTACTTTCTTTACGTTACAGTAATATCCTCTAATTCTTTCTTTGAATCACAGGAACTATTTGTGGTATTTTTCTATTCTTTTACGTTCCCAGTGGAACATAGAGCTTCAAGCTAGGGACTTGAAGTTTCGGTAGCAGTGGTGTTTATTTTTACAGGATGGAGTTGCTAGCCTCATGCCTAACCTTCCCTCTTTACCAATCTTACTACTGGCTCAGGGAGGTAAAGGAGTGCGTCGGTGGCCACCTGCGTAGTCGGCGAGCACTCTACCACTGTGCCACCGATGCACCATTTGTAACATAATATTAAATTGTATTTTTTTGTGAAATATAGCCGTATCCATGAGGATATGATGAAATAGATTGTGCAACTCGTTAACTAGAAGTCCTGGAATTGTTGAGAATACCACCTCTGCTTATGTATTGATAAATTACTATCGTCCTAACCATCATCATCATCATCATTGCCTATACTTTGCTGACATCTTTCTTTACAAATTTCAAGTTATTTTAATCTACTGATCACTTTAATGTCATGTCTGATAAGCTTCAATGTTTTACTGATTACCTTAATTTTTGATTATTTAATTAACGTTTTTAAAAATGACCTAACAGCTAAAGCATATCATATAATCAATGAAACTCAAAAAAATATTTTGGAAGGAAAATGCAACAAAAGTTATATCTGCAATTTTTCTCAAATAAGTATGAACTTTGAAATTCATTGTGTATAGATTAGTCGAATGTACCTTGAACTATGTAAGAGAACATGATCCTGCTTGATAGCAATATATTTTGAGAAAGATGACTTTATCATTAATCAGCATTATTAACATAGGAGTTTTCTCAGAACTATGTAAAGTGTTGATTTAAAGATAAGGTTCACAGACATTTTTACTTCCGTAAAATTAAGAATTATAGCTTAGAAGATGGTGTACTTCAGTTTCGGTGGTGCAGTAGCAGAATGCTCACCAACCACCCCCGTGATCGAGACTCTCATTCACGGCTGGCGCATTCCTACATCTCCCAACCGGCAGCAGGCTCAGAAAAAAAGGAAGGTTAGGCGTGTGAGGCTAGCAATCTTACTCGTAAAACAAATAACACCATCGCTACCACAATTCAAGGTCTCAAGCCAGAAGCTTTATACTCCCATCGGAACGCAAGGAATGCATTTTTTTGTTTTCCAACACAACAGATTTGACCCCCTTGATATTGCCTACAGGAAGCTTTGGATTTTATAAATAATAGTGATTATCACTAAATCTGTTTGCATCAGTCAGGCAGAAAAAAACAGGTATTATTGACGGACCTCCTTCCAGTATTATACATGGATTTAGAACTTGATACAAATCAGCGAAATGAATTTATCTCATTTCAAACTAATTTGCTCACTAAAGTCTTCATATATTACGGTAAAGTAGTGGGATTCAAAAGACTTTTCATGTCTACAAATGAAACGTGAGTCCTACGCTGGTACCGCAACTTAATCCGTCACTTTAATATTTTCATTTCAGAAGATAACCAAATATGCAAACTATTTAAGCATAAAGTTTTTGTGAGACATCTAC